TTCATACACGTTTATCTCCTCCAACATAAGCAGCCGATAATGTTTCCTGAAAAAAAAAAAAAATCAAACCTGTTTTTCTCTTGTATCATCTTTAACCTCAGAACACTGATCAAATACACTTTAAAAGGAAGTCTGGAGAGTGTTGCTAAGTTGTCAATAATCACAAGTGAATGGAGTGATAGCATTAAGCACTGCATCTCACACTGCTGCTAGCATGGACTCTGTGACTGAAGGAATGAAGCTCTTTATGGGTGTGAAACAAATCTTCATTTTTTCATTTCTCCCTTTACAAGTAATTCCCTAACACTTATTTTGTGCTTTACTGATCACTTATTTCAAAAAACCCTAAATAGTTCACTGGAAAAATAAATTCCTATACAAGGCAGCTTGAATTTTCAAAGCTAAACTTATTTTATGAAAATAAAAATACAACATGTAATGATGAGTATGTAGAAAACTCCCTTGGAAGTAGCCTGCTTCTCCTCCAAACCCCTAAGTAACATACAGCCCCCATGGCAGGGTGTGCAATTTATGATGGCAAGGAGTAAGGGAAAGATAAAATTTCCACTTCAGCCATCTTTCACTGTTACTGCTTTTAATTGTTTCGACAGGGCACATTAAAAAAACCAAAACCAACAACCTCTTTTTACCCTCTCTGTTATTTTATACTTTCCTTAGATAGCAGGTCCTCTGAGCTAAAAAACACGTCATGCACATTATATAGAGCCAAACTTATGGCAAATCTGATCACAAGAGAGACCTGTGAAGAGTCTCCAATAAAAACACACATACATCCCTTTGTACACTATAAGAGTCATTTAGTTTCTTGATGAGAAAATTCCCATTAAGCAGAAACAAATACCATTTATGGCTCAACCCTAGAAGGCTGCACAGTCCCCACCAAACTGAGAGCAAATATTTTGCATTAATCTACGATGATCCTCAAACGTGTGTATGCTGAAAAAGCGCAACACTTCTTATTGCATTCGTACAGGCTGTCACTGAGGTGCAATACTGTGCACCTCAGTGGAAAGGTGTTAGGGAAGAGCCAGAGGGGGTTAGGACCATGTTTCAGCAAAGCAGGGTGCAGGAGGGGAGGCAGAGGCGGTGGGTCAGGGGTGTGCTGGGCGTCAGAGCCCAGCTGGGGCTGGCACTGCTGCAACCAAAGCCCTGGCAACTGAATTTTCCCTTGGGGTAGAGAGACAAATGGGCAGGAGACAAGTTTTTCAGGTACCCCCCTTTGGTGACAAACTCCCTATGAGAGAAGACACAGAATCAGCTGTTACAGGAGAAGCCAAATTCGGTTTAATCCTGCCACATCAAGATAGCAGATTTGCTGTTTAAAGGCAGAACTGTTTTTTCTTTGCCTACACAGAAGTCATGCTTAACAGGAGCAACACTGAAAACCGAGCAAATCCAACTGTGGCATTGTGCAGTAATTGCACTGTAATAAAGACACAGAAAAAAAGAGAAAGTCTCTTTAACCTGTTTATCAAGCTACTGTCATCTGGTATTCACTCCGGGTCACCACATTTTAAGTTTTACTTGAAGATTACAGTGAAGTTTTGTTTTTTAAAAAATTTAAGTAGCAAAACCGGTTCCTTTTTAAAAGTATTTATTTTTTAGTATTTTTAATGCTTAGTATTTTTCTCTTAAAGCTTTAGAAAAACAGAATTATGAATATACTGCTTCTGCAAGGCAACACTGCTCCTCCAAACACTTACACAACAGGGCTCCAATTTCACTTTAAGTGTCTGCAAGATTAAGACCCTAAAAGCCAAGGGTGCTAACATAAAACACTTATATTCTGAAACTAAAGAGAAAAATATCTTGAACAGATGGAAGAAAGCTTCCTCAAAATACAGACCCAACCTCTTTTACTTCCAAATAAATATATTCACATTATTTTTAAAGGTAAGTTGTGACAACCTTGTTGATTAGTGCAATTCATGTGGCAGCATTCACTTTTCCCTAGCTCTCTACTGCATACTGAAAATAAGGCAATTAAATGAGAAAATTAATTCCATTAATTAAAAATGTTCAGTCTCAAGCAAGACAGAATGATCTGAGTGAGAATTACAGCTGTATAAATGTACATAAACCAAAATCTTTTCCCTGACATGTACTTTCCTTTAGGAAGGCTAAATTTTGCAGCACAAACCAATGATAATGCTATTTTTACAGTATTATAAAGCTCGAGAGAGATATGAAAAGGCCTGGTTTATCTTTTAGAGAGAAACCCCCTGATGTATATAGGAAAATTTACAAGTAGAATACCACCCTTCCCACAAATTCCTTACTGGTGAGCCTGAGTGAAAACTCTGGTGAAGTCAGGAAAGAAAATCATTAAACTTAGCTGAATACATAAAGCGCCATAGCTAGAGTTTCAATACAGATCATTTTATAGTAAAATTAAAATAGAAGCCCTTTTTAATTATATAAAGTGTGCACATTATTACTGAGGAGAGGAATAGATGCCTCCTCAAGAACCATAAAATTGGCTGCTGGGAATTAGACTTCAGCTGCAATTATTATATGGTCCTATAAAGGATATTGAAAGTCTGATAAAATTGCACCCTTGTCATGTAACAGTGATGCTTAATGCTAAATAACCACTCTGCAGCATTCCAGTCATAGCTTTCTCAAAACATCATAGCTCCCTTCTCACACCGAAAAGAAAACATAGCAGGATTGTGGAGCTAAAAGTATACCTAAATATTTGAAATACCAAATGGACAGGTTGAAAGATATGTAAAGCCACACAGAGGCGAAACAACACATGTGATAAATGAATACTGATGGTCTTTTATAAAGGAGAGCCCTCCGTGGATACATACCCAATGTGAAAGACTACATATGATGAGAAAAAAAAAAAAAAAAAAAAAAAAAAAGCAGCAACAATGAAGCCAGCCCTTAACTGCATACGCCTAACTCAGCCCTGCCACGCCGAGATGAATACCAGTGCCATACATTCCTAATAGCTGTTTTCCTTTTCGTTGCAGTATGTGTTGTAAACAGTGAGTATTTGTTATGCCTGCATACGACGGGCTGGACTTCTCCTTGAGAACCTGGAATTTGCTTTTAGCAACATCAGTACGCTCCTCGTGTGCCTCTCAGGCCTGCTCATAGAGCACAGGACTAAAAACTGTAGATACTTCTAATTCCACAGACTCTACTGCACTCACAACTTAGCCAGGCCAAAATTTTTACATATAGTAAGAATATAAAAGAAATATTTCTCTGACAACGTAAGGGCACATGCAGGGGAAGGCTGGACAAGAGAGAGAGATTGTGGAGTGTGGAAGAAGGGGTATAAACTTTGCTCTTGCAAATGAAGGAAAGGAGAAAATTCTGTCTCTTGTGAAGAGGTACTGACAAAGTCCCTCACAACTCAGATCCTACAGCATGGGTGAGATACATGTTCTGCCTTCTCTTTGGCCTCACTGCTGTTCAGTTCACGGCACCTGTGATAACGCCAGGCTTCAGAACAAAGCCTCTGCACAACAGCATGCAGCGGATCCCACACAGCTCTTTGTTTGACACGACTCCTCAGTCGTGAAGAAAACCAGACCATTAGAAGTCAAACCTCCTTGCCTCCCAAATTATGGCAGGAAACAAGCACCCTGGGCTCTGTTAGCATGAGATGGAGGGGCTACAGCTCGTCTCCTTAAAGCTGAATGGTGGACGGACTTGCAGGCTGCAGGTACGTTGGGTACGTTTTCATGGAGGGGTTTCCTTTACAAAACAGAGCTGAGAGAGCCCGTCCCATGCCCGTGTTGCTCGTGCCAGCAGAGCCTGCCTGCACCCTCTCAGGAGCCTCTCCAGGTTATCCACCTCCTCCCACAGAATGAGCAGTTGTGCAGAGGAAGCTATCCACCTATGGAACGGTACTAAGGCTGTGAGCAGGGGACAAGTAAATGAAAACTCACAGACCATAGCTGATTAACCTAAAAACCAACATTTCTGAGGCAACTGTCATCTAGGATGAGCATGGTCAGTCCCTGCATCTCTCTACACATGCTGCACTTGATACAGCAGGTACTGGGCACTGGGCACTACTTGACTATAAACGTGAAAGCATAAAAAAATACGTATGTCAGCTCTGACTGAGCATCTGAAAAACACCGACCTTTTAACCAGTTAAGCTGTAAACAAAACATTTAAAAATTAATTTTGATTTGAAGCATGCATGAAATGTCCTCCTTAAAAGGTAAACCAAGTAAAGACTAGGGTGCACTTTGCAATGAGGCCTTAAAAGCCCTTAGAAGTATTAATTATACCTCAAAAGTAAGTATTTTGAATATTATATCAATGTTTATAAAAGTATAATATCCTACAGACACTGTTATCTGCCAACAGCTCAGTCAGGCCAAGATTTGGAAGGAGAGACTTGGACTCCTAACTCCCTCTCATCTTTGGGTACAGTTGCAAAAATAAAATCTGTTCTGACAGTATTTATCTACCATTGGGGAAAACAAAAAAAACCAACTGCCAAAATGTAAAAAGAACTGGAAACTTCTGATGCCAAACATAAAGGAAAGTTGAAAACATATGCAACAAAGGCCTTAGAATAAAATTTATGATCACACACTGAACAGAATTGAAATTTGGTAGTGATGTACTTTTCAGTAAGACGTTTTTTGGAGGGAGGGTATGAAAAATTTCCTCTGTCCTTTACAAGTAAAAATACTGCTGCTTCCTGATGAAGCTTCAAGATATATCTTTTTTGTTAAAAATGTGTGAACCCTCTAATAACCAAATTACTGAGCATCACATAATAGTAATATAAAATTATTCATACAAACATTAAAATTTAAATGCAAGGGGAAGTCATGTAATGTGCCTTATAGTTCTTTCCATTAGAAACAGTACTGGAGTGTACCAGTTAGAGAGTAAAACCATCGCTCATATTTACCTTATCAAAAGTAGAAAAAAAACCCAGTAGCATTCACATGAACATAAGCCATCAGTTTTTCAGAATAAGGAAAAAATTTGCTTACCTGGAACATCAATTAATCTCTTATAAACATTCAAGAAGGCTGCCTCTGCTTCTTTGCTTCTTTTACCCAATGCGTCGATCTAAAAGGAGGGATGAGAAAAGGCGGCTTTTAGATTTGTTCCTATACATCTCTTACACTCAGAGCTATAAAAATAAATTAATATATTTCATATAAAACTAGTTAATACATGAAAAGGGAACCTGAGTCTCCTATAGAAGCAGTCTCTTAAGTATTTCTGGTACATTTGTACTGAATACAATTTAAAGCCCTGTTTCAGCCAGTAGCAAGCATTAATGTTTTTATGAACACTATTGTCTATTGTGATTCTTTACGTTAACTCTTTATAAAAAGCATGGCATTTGCCAGGCAGGTTCTCTCCCCAACAACTGTTTACCACTTATTTTATTAAGATCTAACACAACAAATAGGAACCGTGTGCACTTCTGATGTCACACTGCCTTTATTATGGCAGATGTATTTTTCTATTATTTCCACTAAGCCCATGAGAGGATGAAAAGACGTAGTTGTTGGGCACGCTGTGATACTTAACACTAAACAACTGTGAATTTTCTACATGCAAATCAATTTTCTAATAAAGCTCAGGCACAGACCCATAGAGTCTAGGCTGTCTCGAACCCATGAACTCAAGCCAGGCTCCCCTGACTAGCCTCTCTGTATTTTGTAACACACGCAGTACTAATCTAATAAGCTGTCTGCCCAGGTGAGGGAAAATACTACCTCACCCAACCTGTTATTTTCCCCGAAATCTGTATTTTTATCTAAAACATCATTTTACAACGAGAGGCAGTTTTATGCCTCTGAGAATAAAATACTTATTCCACAGCAACTTTTTTTTTTTTTTTTTTGGTAAACATGTATTTTCCTAATGTGCTAGGAAACAGAGGACCTACACATACTAAATACTAACAAAAACCACCCAAAGTGACCCAAGAGCAGGTCCGTTGAATTAATACTCCAAAGCAGAAAGAGACAGAGAGGGAGACAGGAAAACCTAACACAGTTCTGCAAGGTTTTACTGAAATCAGGAAGCTAAAAGTATGGAGATTATCGTTCCCATATTTTTAATAAAAAGCAAGGAAGGATCCGAAGAACTATGGATACAAAACCTGATATCAATTCTTCTGTGTAATTGAAAAGCAGTTAATATTATGAAACCATTTAAAGGTGTGTACGTCAACATGTACTAAAAAAAGGAAGGTCCTGTCTGAAAAACGTCCTTGAATTCTTTCACTACATTATTGATTTGGTAGATAAGGCAGAAACAATGGACAGAGTTTACTGTATCTGTATTTCAGGAAAGTATCTGAGATTTTATTATACGGGAGGAAGCTCTGTAGAGCTGGGGAGCATGTACAAACCCTCCCGGCTGCAGCGGGCTGCAGCGCGCGGGCGCAGGAAGCAGAGGGTGCCAGGGAAAGGAAGCGGAGCGGGGAGGAGGAGAGATAAGCAGGAGGGTGCTGCGGGGTCAGATGTGGTGCCACTTCTGTTTACTCTGTATGAAAATGACTTTGCGAAGGGAAGGATTTGGGGGG